TTCTAAGTGTCGATTGGAGTTGGAGAGACACTTAGAGTAGTTTAGGACTTTGTTTTTTCTTTGACCGTACTATTAAGGGGGGTATGGACGGGTAGCTTGATCTAGGTGAGTCTAGTGAGTTAAATGTGGTGCATACTTGCTAGATTGAGCACTAGGTAGCTCCAAAATAGCCCTTAGATCCAATGGAGCAAACTTCATTCATGTATAATTGAGAGTTGGAAGTGAATAGAGGGTCAAATACTAACCGGACGCTGGCTCTGGTTTGACCGAACGCTGGCTCTGGGTCTAGTTAGTTCATTTGACCAAAGAGATTACGTCTGGCGCGACCGGACGCTGAAGGTGAGTGACTGGACACTGAGTGTCCAGCGTCTAGTCGACTCCTGTAAGGTTCTAGAGAAGAAAATTTGTGACCGGACGCGTCCGGTCAGTACTGACCGGACCCTGGGGGTTCAGCGTCCGCCGAGTACAGTAAGGTTCCAGTGAGGGTACAACCTCCACTCTTGTGGGGGGGGTACTTTTGCTCATTCTAACAGCTGAGAAACACCTTAGAGAGTGCCAAGAAAAGCAAGGTCCTAATGAGGTGATTGAGATTTGAGAATCCAAGAGAGAAGCCTCATTAGTGAGATCAAGAGTAGCAAAGTGTGCATCTACCCTTCTCATTAGGCTTGTCGTGGTCAAGTGAGAGTTCATACTTGTTACTCTTGGTGATCGTCATCACCTAGACGGCTTGGTGGTGATTGGGAGGTTGGTGATCATTCAGCGAAGCTTGTGGATGACCCAACTCAAGTTGTGAGCTGTTGTGGGTGATTCACCGCGATAGAGTGTCGAAGAATCAACTCGTAGAGAGCATTTGATCCTTGCGCGGATCAAGGGGGAGCTACACCCTTGTGCGGGTGCTCCAACGAGGACTAGTGGGGAGTGGCGACTCTCCGATACCTCGGCAAAACATCGCCGTGTTTCCTCTCCTCTCTTTACTTTGAGCATTTACTTTGAGCAATTCAATACTTGTCTTTACATTCATAGAATTACCATGTTTGAGTAGGATTGGAACTTAGGTTGCAAGTCTTTTTGTGCGTTAGATCAATAGAAACATTTTTCTAGGCACAAGGGGTTAATTGGGCTAACCGTAGGATTTAATTATTACAAAGAAATTTAGAATTAGCCCAATTCACCCCCCCCCCTCTTGGGCATCTTGATCCTTTTAGGATGGTCTAAAAGCATGGAAAGACATGGTGCAGCTAAACGTGATGCCACAACTTCACCCGGTACCTGAGGCTAATGGAAAATACACTCTGCTCGCGGCGTGCTTCAACCTAACACCAGACGAGAAGAGCTATATGCACTTTTCTGAGGGGAATCAAAGTCCCGACTGGGTTTTCAGCAAATGTGAAGAAGCTAGTGTCGATGAAGGACTTGTTAATAACACACTGCAAGGCTCACGATTGCCATGTGATGTTGACAGTGTTTCTACCTATTGAAATCAGGGCTATAAAGCTAGAGTTCTTGAAAATGGCCGTCACCCGCATGTGCTACTTCTTTTCGAAGATCTCACAGAAGACAATTAGCAACCAAGAGCTGAGTGACCTACATGAATTTGTGGTGGAGACACAAAATCAACTAGAGATGTGTTTACCTCCTGCTTTTTTGATATAATGCCACATCTCATGATTTACATGGTTCATCAGATACAGGCGATGGGCCCTAGCTACTTGCATGAAATGTGGTCCTACGAGCGGTTCGTGTCGGTTCTAAGTCGATACGTGCATAATCGAGCATACCCAGAGGGCTCCATGATAGAGGGTTACAATACTGAAGAAGTCTTCGAGTGCTATCAAGAGTACCTAAAAGTAAAGAAAGGGATTGGTAAACACGATTCTCGTCACAAGGGTAGGCTGGCTGAGAAGGGCATTAGTGGTAGAAAAGTGTTCATCGACCATGATTACAAAGAGGGTAAGTCGGGCGCATTACAGTGTCTTGCAGAGTACACAATTGATGCAACCGTACATTGATGAACACTTGGCTATCATTATGGCGGAGAAAAATAGCCGTTCGGATGATTGGGTCATGAAACAACACCAACAACGACTAACTACATGGTTGAAGGACCAAAACATACCACCTGAAGAAACCATAGACTCTATTACCATCAGTAGGTTAGCGGAGGGGCCATCGAGACAAGTGACATCTTAGAATGCTTATGACATCAATGGGTATACGTACTATACCCACGCAAAGGATAGTAAATATGTGAACCAAAACCGCGGCGTTCGAATAGAGGCTCTCGATGGATTGGGACGAAAGATCCAATACTTTGGTATCATTGAAGAGATATGGGAACTTGACTATGGAAGGGATATAACGGTGGCCATGTTTCGATGCCGCTGGATCAAACAACACCAACTGAACGAGATCGGAATGAGAGTCCTGGACATCGAAAATCTAGGCTACCAAGATGACCCTTGGGTGCTCGCTTCACGTGTCGCACAAGTTTTCTATATGTCTGACCCATAAAGTAACCTTCCCCCGAAGAAGAAGACAAAGCACGTGGTTGCCTCTAGGAAACATCACATTATTGGAGTTGATGGCGTGGACGATGTTAAAGCTTACAATAACTACGGTGAGATGCCGCTATTCACAGACTTTTCTAAGAAGATCAGTGTTGTCGAAAAGAACCTCCCCAAAGACATATTGCCATGGGAACGAAAAGATGTCAAGGAAAAAGTCGTTACAGCGGGCAAGCTAGTTGTTGAACGTGGAGTGTTTATGTAAGTATGTGTTTGTAAGACTTCATTTATGGATGCGTGTGAGACTATATATTTATGTACGTGTGTAAGACTACATATTTTTGTATGTGTGTGAGACTACATTTATGCATATGTGTGAGACTACCTTTTACAACATCCAGATGACTCTATTTGAACATCCACTCTATTACTACTAAAACTTTTTGAAATCACTTAACACTTTATGAAATGAAGAAATAACCAAAATAAAAGTAGAAGATCTTGACGAGTTATACAACTTTTATATTCATCACCTTTACAGCTAAAATCATTTAGTGTTTGAAAATCAGGTTTAAAGCTGTCATTTTATGAAATTTAAAATTTGAATTTTTTAAAAATTAGTGACAAAGATAGATAACTAGACTAAAATGATAGAGCATGATTTTAGAAAATTTTAGGAAAAAAACCATCACATTTAGAGTTAGTATGTGAGAGAAAAACTAGTTACAAGTTTCTGCCACAGATTAAAAAGAGAAATCACACTTATTCATCATTGATCATCATGAACAGTTGTGCTTTTACTTTTTAATCTTTGGGTAAAATTTATAACTAGTCTTTCTCCCTCATACTAATTTCAAATGTGATGATTTTTTTCCAAAAATTTTCTAAAATCTTACCCTATCAAGTTAGTGTGTTGATTTGGTCATTCTTTTCATTTGACAAAGTTTTGAGCACTTCAAATTTTTAAATTTAAAAAAATAACAAGTTTGAACAAGATTTTCAACCATTAAATGATTTCAGCTGAAAAAGTGATGAATACCAAAGTTGTATAACTCATTAAGATCTACAACTTATTTTTTATCATTTCTTCATCTGACAAAGTGATATTAAACATTGTTCACAAATCAACATGTTTCTCGTATAGTTCAGGAAACTATAAGTCATATGTGAATTTATGAACAATGTTTACTAATTCTTTGTCACATGAAGAAGTGACCAAAATAAAAGTTGTAGATAGTGATGAGTTCAACAACTTTTATGTTCACGACTTTTATTGTTGAAATCATTTAAGGTTTCAAAATCATGTTTCAAGTTGCTAATTATTGAAATTCAAAATTTCAATGATCAAAATAAAAGTTGTACATATTGATGAGTTCTACAACTTTGGTATTCATCAGTTTTTCATCTGAAATAATTTACTCTTTCAAAATATTGTTTCAAGTTGAAATTGTTTGAATTTCAAAATTTGAATCGTTCAAACAAAGTCACATGACAAGATGACCAAAATAAAAGTTGTACATATTGATGAGTTTACAACTTTTATGTTTACAACATTTTCATTTTATTTCATTTAATGTCATAAAATTATAGTCGAAGTTTTAAAATTCAAATTTTTATTTTTTATTTTTTTGTTTTCTATATTGTTTTGACTACAATTGTTTATATATATATTTCTTCATATATAGAATAATACAAAATATTATATTTGTGCATATACACAATTGTTTTTATATTACTTTTATTTTGGTAACAATTGTTTTATATATACACAATTATTTTTATAATATAGAATTAATAATTTAAAAAAATAAAAAATATTTGTAGGGGCGGTTGGATCAGGAACCGCCCCTACAAATGCATTTGTAGGGGCGGCTGGATTAGGAACCGCCCCTACAAATCATCGCGACTATAAAAGAAAGGGCGCACGGGTGAATCTGTTGTTGGGCGCTCTCTTCTCCTCCGACGCCGTCAGGCTGCCCCGCCGACGCCGCCTCCCAGACCCGCGCCCCCTCCCCGCACCCGCGCGCCTCACTAGGGTTTCCACCGGCGGGCGGCCTCCGCGCACCTCCACCGGCGGCGCACCCGCGCGCCCCCTCCAACGGGTCAGGGCGCCGGGCCGACGCCGACGCCGACCCCCACGTGACTAGGGAGTCGGACCGCCGTCGCCCCCGGCTCCTGCTTCTCGCCGACCAGCAGCAGCAGCTACTCGCCTCTGCCCTCGAGTTCCTGCCGGAGGTGCGCGGCCACCGGTCCTCCTCACCTACTCGCCTCTGCCCTGAACCGGGACACCGCCGCACACGTCGACGACTGAAGCAAGTCAAGCAACGCCGAGCCACCAAAACGTATGATATCTCTTCCCCTCCTTTCCTGATGTGCGGATCTGAATTAATTGGCTTGATTCGGAACAGTACGATGGTGCATAACTAACACACCCCTGAAAGCAAACATCCTAATATCCTAATTATGTCAAGAATATCAAGCTGGAAATGAAAGCATCTAATATCCCATGGTAACCATTTGATATGTTGAACACCCAATAAGGCCTTGATATGCATGCACGATTGAGCTAGCAAGTTCTGATTCACTGGAGCACACAAATCCTCTCTGTCCCTATTTTTGGATGAAACAAAATCATGAAAAAGATTCAAGCAAAATGTCCACAGCGGTTTGTTCTGATCATTGATCCCAAAAGAGAGAACTATTTTGAGTATTGGCCCAAAAGCAGCCTCCAGAATGGGTAAATGATTGATCAGATTACCAAGTCTATGTAGAAGGTAATGCCATGTACTCAAACAAGAAAGGCCAAGTACAATATTGCGACTTCTTGATAGAACTCGACATAAAGGCACCATAATTAATCTTATCCTTTTCACCTGCGCACTTGCCTGTTCAATGGGTTTTAATGGGGGAATCACAGTTTGTTGGACCACAATCTCGGTTGCCTGAGAAGGAAAAAATGCATCCACCAATTTTTTCCAGGAAACCTGTAAATAAGTAAAGATTATCATAATGTAATACAGACATTCATAATACTAGAAAAGAAATTGTAGTCCGGAAAAAGGATAAATAGTTTAACTCACCATTGTAGCAACCTGAACTTGTGGGATTAGATCAGTAAACATCTGCTCAGGAACCTTTAGGAGTTTATTAAGCCGCGGTCTATTGTTCACTGCATCTGGACCAAGCAAAGATATGATCCATCCCCATGACCTCACAGTTTGAACTTTCTTCGAAGGGTCATCAAGCATATTTACCATGCAGGAGAGTAACTTCTGCTCAAGGTCTGAAGCAACAGCCTATACAGCATGCATCAAAATAAATTGGGAAACAATCGATAGATAAGCTCATTGAGGATAGGAAAGAAGATCACCACAGCAAGTAAAATATGTGGAAAATATGCAAAGTTGCAGGAGAAACACTGAACCATTTAATAAGCCAACTCCAGGAAATAGTAAACACACACAGAAAAAGATTCAGATATCAAATGCAACACAAAAATTGGTATAACCAAAAACCTGCATCACGTGCACGTTTGCCTATATTAATCTATTAATAATTCAACGGGGAGCAACCAAGCATCCAAGTTGTGCTCCAGGAAGCCGCTGACCAGGGCCATTTGTGGATCCTGGCAGGGGCAAAGGCACTGGCTGAGTTGCTTCAATGAGTATAGTTGTTGTGGAGGGTGTTTTCCTTGCTTCTAGGGCACGTGTGTCATAAAAAACTAACCCCAGCAGTGGAATCAGCATGTTCTTGTGACCGCACTTTTGTACCTATTGATACAATGACATGCAGCTCTCCTGCATGTCACAGAAAGAATTAATAGTTTCCAGTTTTTGCTGGTACATGGATTCTGTAACCTGAACTGAAAGTAACAGAACTGCAGGACATTTCAATAGTAGCAGGAAGCCAGGAAGTGTTATGAAGCCTCTAGACCTATCATTTCAGATTTGATTTTAAGTGTTTTAATAATGCTATACTATTGATAGAGAATTAGTTTGCTGATATGCTACTCACTTCAACAAAAGCTCACACTGCAGTTACTGTTGTGTGACAAGGAGTACATCCGTATGTCACCAATATGTAAAACTAATGCAATTCAGCTAAATTGCCTTGGCATTCCAGTCACAAAAAAAAATGTATTGAATCATTGCTTGTCCACATGAACCTACCCTCAAGATTTATCATAATAAGTCACCCAATCTACTTGAACCTTTGGGTGCACCGTTATAATGCACCCAGATAGTTAAGTTGGATTAAAATGCTCTATCAGAAGATAGTCCATTTAGAAAAACAAATAATACACCACAATGTGCATATGTGGCATGAATTTGCAAGCAACAGATTCACAGTTTTTAATGAATTAACAGAAATATTCATATGAGTTGCTTCTAATACTAAAGCAACATCTAATTATATCTTCTAGTAATTAACAGTGGTCTTTTAATTACCTTGGAAAGAAGAGGCTGAGGTGGTAGAATAAGACGTGACACCTTAATAAGGCATCTTTCTGCCGTGTCCCTTTCTGTCTTGTCAGCACTTAAGAGTCTTCGGTACACTGGTGGATTAGAAGCATTGTGAAAACATATTGTTATTTTGTAATGAACACCACTAAGCAAGTGGGCTGTAGTTACATGATCAATTCGGTTGCAGCCTGTACAGTGAAATTCCTAAAAAACACAGAAAAAAAAAGCAATGAAATGCAACATAGTTTAGGTGTGCAGAACAACCTGAGCTGCGTCAAATGTTGTGGACAAGGAACCAAATGGATTGTCGAGGGCATGAACAATAGCAATAAGCATTGGATCTGCTCTATCCTCTATAATCAAGGGCTCCAATTGTTGAACCGAGAAGCACCAGACACCCAAATTACAAGCCGACTGTAGTAAAAGAATTAACAGGAGAAAATGGGAATCAAATACTAAAAGATCAAATACGCATTCTGCACGCAAAATTTAGCATCTTAAGCTATTGAAAAGGAAAAAATGGTCAGCCAGATCAACCTTCATCCGAGTATTCATGATTATCTGTACCAAGGTATCCAATACCAATTGGGCCATCTGTGCTGTAAAATAAGAAAATATATTTTTAGCTGTGTTATTTGAAATAATGTCGACAGCATGTCATGTATAAAAAACTGAGCAGGAGCAGCTGCTCCTTTGCTGAGTTAAATGATATGCAGACCTCTCTTCTCTCTTCTCCCTTCTACTCACCTCTCTTTTCTCTTGTTTGGCAGCAGCAGTTGCTCCTATTCTGATTTAAATAATGTGCAGACCTCTCTTCTCTCTTCTCCTCACCTCTCTTACTGCTCTGACTCCTACTCCTCTTACTACTACTACTCATAAGTGGCTGCTGCTCTTACTCTACTACTACCACTCTACTGCTACACTTACTCAAATCTACTACTTTCTACTTACTACTACTACTTGCTATTTCTAGCTACTAACTGTTGGCTGCTGTTACTTTTTTTTGCCAAATTTCCCAGGACTCGCCCAGGACTTGTTGTCCTGTCTTTTGCCATCAACTGCTACACTATGTTTGTTAAGCAGCTATTGCTTTTTTTTGCCAAATCTCCCCTCTTTTCATCTCCTTTGTTTTGCCGATGATGAAATTGTCTAAGTCCATACATTATATGGAATATGAGTTGATGATCAAGAACTTGTGATGAACTTGACATCATTAGCAGCCGCCCCTACATTATCTTCTCCTCTCTTCTTTGTTATGATGCCTTGATGCTCCAAGTTCATGATCAAATGATGATTGATATGTTTCTGAGGCCTCTACTACTGCTACTACTAGTTTTTTTGATATATTGTTGTTTTATAGGACTTTTTTTGCCAAATCTCCCCTCTCTTCTCCTCTCCTTTGTTTTGCCGATGATGAAATTGTCCAAGTCCATACATTATATAGAATATGAGCTGATGATCAAGAACTTGTGAGGAACTTGGCATCATTAGCAGTTGCCCCTACATTACCTTCTCTCTTCTCTATTATGATGCCTTGATGCTCCAAGTTCATGATCAAATGATGATTGACATGTTTCTGAGGCATCTACTATTGCTACTACTAGTTTTTTTGATATATTTTTTTGACATGTTTTTAAAGCATACTTTCTTGCATCTATTAGAACAAAGCGTGAAATAATGTCGCATACACCAGACAGTGCAGCCCGATACCCCGAGCATGATGAGCAGTCAACCTATGAGGAGCAAGCACTAGAGGACCAGCTAACTCAGGAGCAGTTTGATAACAAGTTAGAAAAGGATCTAGAAGCGATGCTTACTCAGGAGCAGTGTGACGAGGAGGAAGGAGGAGCAGAAGGAAGAGCAGGAGAGGCTGCTGAAGGCGAAGAAGAAGAGGATGATGATGATGATGACTCAGAAGAGGGATATATAAGTCCCGATGATCCTTTCCCACATGAAGCCAGAAGGAGGTCAACGGAGGAAGATTTGGACAAGGATTTTGACCCGAACGAGTAGGTAGGGAAAAAGCCTTAGCTTGTAAATTTTGCTAAAGCTTTGGCTGTGTTACCTCTGCTAACACTTTGACCTGTCGTATATACAGGTCCCTCCTGAAACTCAGAAAAGACGACGTCAACGTCCGTGACATCTCGCTGGACAAGACAAAGTAGAGGAAAGGATAGCAGAGGCAATAGCCACAGAGATGGATCACGATGCCTCTGTTCCACAACCTCAAGACACAACCACGACTACCAAGCCTAAGAGGAAACAACGGGATAGAAAAGGAAATCTATATCCAGATAAGGCATGCTATGTGATAACGGAGGTCGGGCCAGCAGGGGAGATCCTTGAGCCGAAGGAATTAAGAGGACGATTATGTAATGCGATCGGGGCCCTAGTAAGAGATAAATTGAACCCAGCAATCCCTAACTGGAAAGAGGTACTAGAGAACAAAAAAAATGAACTATGGGATAGGCAGCTAAATGTCAATTTTAGATTTCCGGAGGGTAAGCACGAACTGGTAAAAAATGCTATTAGGATGATGGGAGAGTCATTCCAACGTTGGAGGTCGGAGCTCAACACAAAGTATATCCAAAAGGGGTTAACTCCCTTCAAAGAGTTTGGCAAAATAACTCCTAGTCAATGGGAGGAGCTCGTGGCTCAGAAGACTTCACCAGAGGCATTGGAGCTCAGTGCCCGTAACACCGAGCTGGCGAAGAGGAACAAACACCACCATCATCTAGGCCCCGGTGGCTACTATACCAAGGAAGAGCAGTTTAGGAAGATGGACGAAGAGGCCGCAGCTGCTGGGAATATCGATGTGATGAATTTGAAGGTACGCTCAAGGAATTGGATATATGCGAGGAGTACAGAATCATCCGGCTGTAATCTTAAGTTTGATAAGCCAGAGACCCAAGAGGCAGTATCAAGGATACTAAAATATACTGAAGACAAGAAGAATGGCTCATTCAATCCTTTCAGAGAGAGGGACGAGCTTAGCCTTGGTTTGAGAAACAAGGAGCACATAGGCCGCACCAGGGGGCTAGGGAAAAGGACGACCTGGAAGCAACGATTCGAAGAGGACAGGCACATATACAAAAAACATGGCAGAGACCGGGAGACTAGTCTTGAGCTCCAAGTGAAGGCTCTAGTTGCGAAGGCGCTGGAGGAGCAAGGATTGTCTAAGGAGCCACGGATATTAGTGACGCCGCCGGAAGAACTGGCATTAGTTGGCAGCCCTCTGAAAGTTCCTAGCAGCCAAGGTTCCACTACAGCCATAACCCCCGTCGATCGCATACGGGAACCAACTAGTTGCACCTTGGTGTTTCTTAGCGGCCGGCAGAACACTATGATGGAGGTGGCAACGGGTGTGGCACATCCTCTCGGTGGCTTACACCACAATAATAAGATACCGCTGGACTACACTAGGGTCGAGGTGCATACCGTGAAGCCCGAGTTCATGCAGTGGAGGATAGACTACGCAACTCCCGAGGGGCTGGTGTTACTCGGAGACGTTATGGGGCAGTTCATCCTCTGGCACAAACGGGACATTATATTGACTGCTTTTTCGCCGCCTCCCCCTCTTCCAAATTTGGAGCAAGTTGTTGAGGTCAGGAAGATATTTTCACCGTCTCGTGACCACCACATTCCTGAGATGCCACATTCTTCTCCGCCTCCTAGCGAGCATGTGCCTGATGAGATGCCACAACCTTCTCCAGCTCATACCGAGCAAGTGCATGATGAGATGCCACAGTCTTCTCAACAAGCACATCCGATACATGAACAATGAGTGCCTCATGAAGAAGGTCATGCACAAGAAGATGAGGACGTACCTGAATGGGAACTTTGAAAGAAGCATCCAATCACCATAAGGCCAGTTTATGTTCTGATGAAAAATATTTCGTCGGTGTCCAAGTGGTATTCCCATGACCAGTTCAAGCCTGAGAACCAAGTTAAAAAAGTTCTATCACGGGATTCTGAGGAGGTCGTCACTAGCAAACTCCACCAAATTGGAAAGCAGCATCCAAATGTTGATGCCATCAAATGGTCAAAGAATTGCCCGAAAACATATGAAAGAGGCAAGCCCTTCCTACCAAACCAGGACATCCAGCGCCTACCACTTGGAATGAGAAGGTTCTATGATTGGTACTTGTGTGTTCTCCCAGTGAGCATAGACCTCATACAAGCATGCTTCCCCACCGGCACATTTGGAAGCCCAGCCGGGAAAATTGTCTTTGACTTCAATGATATGCAGACATGCTTTCACCTGGAAGAAATGGAGATGAATCTAATTCGCACGTGGTGCCTGTAAGTCCTTGTCCTCCCGATATGATATGAATGTAATCTTTAAATTTTGTTGTAACTAACACACGTCGTGATTTGTAGAATGCAAGTGCACATTGTCAAACAAATGCCAAGTGTGAAAGCCGGGTATCTAGACTCTCAAGTTATAGCCCAAACAAATTTTAATTACACTAAATAGTGGACACTAGATGTCAAAGAGCTAGCTGCTGCAAAGACTTTTCGGGAGAAAAAGCACATCCGTACGACGAAACTAAGGGAAGAGTCCCTTAAGGTTACGGCATACATTGCCCTGGCTTTCAAAAATCTCCAACAACACTCTACTATATGGCTACCATACAACTTCGAGTAAGTTCAACTCTATACTTAAAGCTTTGTTCGATATATTTTATTCGATGCAAAAGAGCTTATCTAGTTCTATGATTAAATCCATGCAGCAACCACTGGATTTGTATAGCCGTCGATGTCGGAAGGAGCATGGCATGAGTCTTTGATTCAATAGATAGGGACCCGGTGACATATAAAGACTTCATATCAATTCTCAAGACGTATACATATCGACAATCCTCATTAGCTTAGATGTTTGTATACGTACTTATAACGTTCACTTTTGGATTCTAACAAGTTGTATTTGCTAAAATAATTCAAACATGGCATTTAGGTTCTATGTCACTAATCATCACGGAAGGCATGATCCAGCAAGGAAGGAAAAGCTGGCTATAAAAACACTATGTGCGGTAAGTGTAACTTACTTCTTCAGTACTCCGTTACATGACTGTCAAAAGCATTACTTAATATTTTCATATGCAAAACACACAGTGCCCCAAGCAGAAGCCTGGGAGTGTACATTGTGGATACTATATATGTTCGATGATGAGTAACACTGGTGCCTACAGGAGACACCCCTTAAGGGTAAGTTTGAACATCTTCACCCGTAGTATAAAAACTTCGTACATGGCATGAAATACTAAACCAAAACTTGTTCTCTTGTAGTGGAGAGAAGAGAAAGGAATGAAAAGAGACACATACAACGATGACCAACTCTTAGAGCTCGTCAGCGACCTTTGCAACTTTATATTGGATCAGATTGTACACGTCAAAAGCACCTAACATGACCGAGAGTTTGACTTAGGTAAAAATCCTCAGTATCAACACCTTCGTGAGACTGAAAGGCTAGCTCTAGGACGTTGATAACAATGTGTATAGAATTTGTATATTTAATGATGGGTTGTATACATTCTTCTGAATTGGACTTGTAATTGTAGTTTATATAATACTCTTGTGCTTGTAGTCGGGGT